TGCCTTGAGTTTTAACGTTTGGTTGCGTTTTTTAATTGCTCGTTTTTTGCATCTTTTCCTTGCAGGTTCCAAGTATGTCACCATTTTCCAGTGTTTCCTCCCTGTCCTCCCTGGATTCCCTTTGGGACTCCCTCAATGAGGTACGTAGCAGACAGAGCAGGAGGGAAGCCCTGCTGAGCTGCACATGGGCAACCCTGAGGCTGGGAGGAGGAGAGGAGGAAGAGGAGGATGCTGGCTGGCTGACCGGCCAGGCCACCTTCTGGACGGTTGAGAGCAAGGGGGCAAACAGGCAGGGGGCTGCTAAGGGCAGACCATGCTTGCTGCCCCACTCCTCCTGATGGACCAGCCCCCCATGGCGCCAGGGCTGTAGGGCTTCCCTGGCTAGCGACTCAATGTAGGCAAGAGAGTTTCCCTTCTGGGTTCCTCTCTCATTTTGGGATGCTCTCTTTCTCCTCTCTCCCCACCGTCAACTCTGGGGTCCTGTCTCTGCTAGCAGTCAGCCACCGAGGAGGACATTCCCAATGTCAAGGAGGACGAAGGAAAAGGCGAGGAGGAGACGACCGCAAGACGGCTGGATCTCCTCAGCCCTGACTGGGTAGGTGGCCGTGGCCTAAGTGGTGATTGGCAGAAGGGGAGGGGGCATATCAACGCAGAATGGAACTGTTGTTTCAGTTATGGGTGCCTTGAGTTTTAACGTTTGGTTGCGTTTTTTAATTGCTCGTTTTTTGCATCTTTTCCTTGCAGGTTCCAAGCATGTCACCATTTTCCAGTGTTTCCTCCCTGTCCTCCCTGGATTCCCTTTGGGACTCCCTCAATGAGGTACGTAGCAGACAGAGCAGGAGGGAAGCCCTGCTGAGCTGGAGAACCCTGAGGCTGGGGGGGAGGAGGAGGAGGAGGAGGAAGCCGGCTGGCCGGTCAGGCCACCTTCTGGACTGGTCGTGAGCAAGGGGGCAGGCAGGCAGGCAGGCAGGGGGCTGCTAAGGGTATGCTTGCTGCCCTACTTGTCCTGATGGACCAGCCCCCCATGGCGCCAGGGCTGTAGGGCTTCCCTGGCTAGCGACTCAATGTGGGTTCCTGTCTCATTCTGGGCTGCTCTCTTTCTCCCCTCTCCCCACCACCAATGCCACCACCTCTGGGGTCCTGTCTCTGCTGGCAGGCAGTCTCTGAAGTGGCTATCGAGGAGGAAGAGCCACAGGAAGTACCAGAGAGCCCCCCAGAGGAGGACGGGGAGGACAAGGAGGACAAGGAGGCCCTTTATTCGCCGTGCCCCCCACCTGGAGAACACCTGGAGGCAAGCATAATCGAGGTCAGACGAAACACACATTCATTCATGACATTTGAAAAGCTTCCCTGAACAGGGCTGTCTTCACATGTCTTCTAAAAGTCAAATAGTTGTTTATTTCTTTGACATCTGGCGGGAGGGCGTTCCACTGGGCGGGTGCCACCACCGAGAAGGCCCTCTGCCTGGTTCCCTGTAACTTCACTTATCGCAGTGGGGAACCGCCAGAAGGCCCTCAGCACTGGATCTCAGAACGATGGGGGTGGAGATAATTCTCCTGGGTTGCTTTTGGTTTGGTTTGTTTTGTAAGATATCTCTTTTGAATGCGTTTCCAGGTGCCTCCTGCCAAATGAAGTTATTAATTGCAAAGTGGGTTTGGCGATAATAAAACCATGTTGGCACTTTGCAAAGCCGGTTCTCTCTGGGGTTTTCCTGCCTCCTATACCTTCCCCCACCCTCTTGTTCTTGGTTTTGTGTCTCGTTCAGATCTCTCCAAGGCTGACCACATGAGAACTTGGGAGAGGAGTGTTCCCTCCTGACTACAACCCTTTCATATAACGCCTGCCCCCCAAAAAGAAAAGAGGGATTATGACAGCCTGCCACCACACCAGGCCCTTCTCCTTCACAAACGGTCTGGAGGGCAGCAACACAAGAAGGGGCCTTTTTCTGTGGTGGCTCCCCACCTTGCGGAATGCTCTTCCCAGGAGGCTCATCTGGCATCTTCATTATGTATCTTTTAGGTGCCAAGCAAAGACGTTTCTTCTAGAACAGAGCTTTCCAAACTGTGTGCTCTCCCAGGGCTGGAAAAGGGCTAGTTGAACTGATCCCTGTGTTGCGAATGAGGCATGTCTCCAAAGTGTGTCACCAACATGGAAAGTTCTGCTCTAGAACCAGCCTTGGGCTAATTGGACAACGCATGGCCTTTTCAACATGCTTGTGGATTGGGAGGTTGGCTTATGAGTTCGTTTTTTGTTTTAATAACATATGTTGTGTTTTATTTTGTATTTTATGCTGTAAGCCGCCCTGACAGCTTCAGATGAAGGACGGCCATACGGATTTAATCAATCAATTGTTGATTGATTGATTAATGATTGCGGCATTTTCCCAGAATCTGGAGGTGAATTGTTTAACTTTTCTCACAGGACTGCGAGGAAAGAGGCCCCGAAGACCCCCACTTGCCTGGGCTCCATCATCTCCCGGATTCGCAAGATCTTCAGAAGAGCGCTGCCGCCAGCACCACCAGTGCCACCAGAGCAACCCAGTACAAGAGCAGCAGTGGGGCGCAGGGGGAAAGGAGGCCACTCTGCACGTGGCTCAGGCGCTGGATGCGGCAGCATCGCAGCTGTGTCCACCCTGAACCAAGATGAGGAGGAGTTGGGAGGCTTGCACTGATCCGCCCAGGGGGATTTTGCCACCCCCCCTGGGATGACACTCGGGGCGATACCCCCCCCCACACCCCACCTTCCTCCGCCAGTGGTGGCAGGGAAGTAGCACCTGGAGGCGCCCGAGTCCCTAAGGGACATTTCCTTTTTGTTGTCCTTGCACAGGTCTTAATCCTTGTGGTCCAAACTGGGAGAGGAGGAATAAAAGATCTGAGCGTGGAGGCAAGCGGGGCGAGAAACCCAACCCCATGTTGCCCTACGCTGGCGTCCCACACGGCCAGCCCCAGTCCTAGAGCCCGACACCTTTTGAGATTGCGGAGGCAGAACGGAGAAGACAGCGGGCAAAGGGTGGGACGGCGAAGGAGAAGGTGCGAGAGAACGACAGCGTCTACGGTGGCGGAGGAGAAGGAGAAAGGCAGGACTGAGAGGGAACGATCCTGGAAGGTGGCTGAAAAGAAAGGGCAAAGACTCTCCTCCCTGAAAGAGAGGGGAGTGGTTGTGGGCGGAACCGAGCACCGCCCAGCAGGGGGCGTTGCCCCTGCCTCCCGCTCACCTGGCTGGCACTCACGCCCCCCCCCCGGTGGCCACCCAACCAGGTGCCGTGGTGGGGGCGTGTTCAGCAGCCTTTTGCTGCAGTGCCAGCCTTTCCCTGGGCCTCATTCCTAATCGTCCGTCCCGTCACGAGTCACCCACCCTCCACTCCCTTTTAGTTAGGGCTTAGTCATTGGCCTTGCTATGGACCTTAGGTTGTCGCCCTGGTTGCCTGGGGGGCCTGGTAGGAGTTTTTCCATTTGGCAATAGGCTTTTTGGTTTTTTCGCCTACCTCGTAGCAATCGTTCACAACTTTTGTGTATTGGTGGGTAGGTTAGGCATTGGATAATGTGTTGTGGTGTGTCGAAGTGCTAGGTGTGGCCATCGCCTATGCTTCAATTTTTAGGGGTATTCCGTTAAAGGAATCTGGCGGTCGTGATATTCTGTCCGATGCCTGCTTGGGCGGGAGGCCATGGCTATCTGACCCGCGGTGACAGCAGGGTGAGCCTATAGTTGGATTAGCATCAACAGGTGATGAACGCCTGTGAATAAACCCACTTGTTTTCGAATCCAATGCCTAAGCCAATTACCTTTTCATTGCTGTAAATCAATAAAGTTGTGGCCTTTTCTAGCCCATTAACCTTATATCACGTGTCCTTGTGTCTTCCATTTCACTTCGCGGGGGTCGGCCCTCAAACCACAATAGGGTGTAGGAAAACTGCTAGCTCACGTTGCCGCACCCCAAAGGAGGAGGAGGAAGGAAAGGAGGAAAGCAAGCGAGCAAGGAAGGGACCAGCTAAAGAAAGAACTGAGAAAAGAGACAGTGAGACCTTCTGGGGTCAAAGAAATTACAATAAGAAGAAACTGAGAGTTTTTAGTTGCGCTCGCCGGCAACCTGGAAGTAACAAAACGCATTATTTCCGGGTTTTGCCATTCGCGCATGCGCAAACGCTCAAATGATGTCACCACATGCGTGGAAGCAGCGAATCGCGACCAGCACACGTATCATTCATAAGCTCACTTCACATCATTTCATTCTCCTAAACTTTGTATATTAATAAATTGAGAAAATCATTTAAATTATCTTCCGTAGTCTGCTGCTTAATTTCTGTATTGTGTAAACTCTGTCCCTGTTCCAAAGAGTAGCAACTGACCTTAGCCAAGCCTTGACTGGAGTACAAATGGATTTTATTGCGTTGTCCAGGATCTGACACATTGTGCACTGATGTTGAGTGGATCACCAGATTACGAGTGAGCCAGCAACAAGTTTAGCATTGGAGGGAAGCAATGAGACGATGCCAGAATAAGTTGTATTCCCTGCCTGCCAAACCTTTTCAGAGGAGGCATCTTATGCTCAGTCAGGAAGGAGAGCGAGAGGCCTCCTCCTCCAACTGAGGTTCTCCCATTCAGTCCTCCTCCTCCAACTGAGGTTCCTCCCATTCAGGTCCTCCTCCTCCAACTCAGGTTCCTCCCATTCAGGCCCCCATTTATAGAGCAAACCAAGATCAGATCGGCAAGTAAAAATAATTGACAGAACAGCCACTGATGAAGCATTTAGATTCATTAGCTAAGATTGCATCCTACTTAGACTTTCATCTCTCCAGACTAGTGGAAAGCTTACTAAACACTTATTCTTATAGCAGTTCAACCTGTAGCAATCCAATGAAAGCTCCTATATAAATTTAATAATTAAAGGTCCAGAGAAAGCTGACTGGGTTATTTATGTATGCAACCACAGCAGCTAGAACTTTATTTGCACAGAAGTGGAAAGAGGGAGGATTGGCTTATGAAACTGGGGGAATATGCTGAGATGGTGAAATTACCTGCTAAACTAAGAGGACATGAGGATGAATCTTTTCAGGAAGAATGGAGACCATTGATATCTTATTTGTCAAACTATCATCCATACATGAAGTCAAAGGCAGGATTTGAAATATAAGCAGCGGATGACTGAAATACGACATTGGGGCTTTGATAATAAAAACATGTTTTTTAAAACATCTGATAAAAAGAAGTAATAAAAACAAACATAGAGAATGGGGGTGGGAGTCAAGAAGAAATTGTGTGGGGTTTTTTGTTTTAAACTGTATGCGAAGACAAGTGATTGGAATATCTGTGGAGACTTAATAATATATATTTTTTTAATGTAGTAAAGAAAGCATTCACCCAGATTCTTAGTAAGTTGAGGTAATTTGATTCTGTTTTATTATTTTAACTTTTGGAAGGCCTCCTCCTCCAACTCAGGTTCCTCCCATTCAGGTCCTCCTCCTACTCAGGTTCCTCCCATTCAGGTCCTCCTCCTCCACTCAGGTTCCCATTCAGGTCCTCCTCCTCCAACTCAGGTTCCTCCCATTCAGGTCCTCCTCCTCCTACTCAGGTTCCTCCCATTCAGGTCCTCCTCCTCCAACTCAGGTTCCTCCCATTCAGGTCCTCCTCCTCCAACTCAGGTTCCTCCCATTCAGGTCCTCCTCCTCCAACTCAGGTTCCTCCCATTCAGGTCCTCCTCCTCCTACTCAGGTTCCTCCCATTCAGTCCTCCTCCTCCTCCTCAGGTTCCTCCCATTCAGGTCCTCCTCCTCCTACTCAGGTTCCTCCCATTCAGGTCTTCCTCCTCCTCCTCCTCAGGTTCCTCCCATTCAGGCCCCATTTATAGAGCAAACCAAGATCAGATGGAAGTGAAAATAATTGAACAGAACAGCCACTAATGAAGCATTTAGAATAGGTTAATTAGCCAAGATTGCACCCTACTTAAACTTTCAAACACTTCAAATTGGTGGAAAGCTTACTAAGTTCTTAGTCTTATAGCAATTCAACCTGTAGAATTCCAATGAAGGGTGCAATATAAAATTAATTAGTAAAAGGTCCTAAGAAAGCTGACTAGTTTATGTATGTATGCAACCACAGCAGCTAGAACTTTATATGCACAGAAATGAAAGAGTTCCCCACCAAGGAGGAATGGCTTATGAACTGGGGGAATATGCTGAAATGGTGAAATTACCTGCTAAAATTACCATCCAAAATGATGGATTGTTTAAGGAAGAATGGAGATCAGGGATATATTATCTGTCAAACCATCATCCATACATGAAGTCAAAGGCAGAGGATTATTGAAAGACGACATCGGGGCTTACATAATAAAAGCATATATATTTTAAAACATCTGATAAAAAGGAGTAATAAAAACAAACATCGAGAAAGGAGAGGTGGGGAGTCAAGAAGAAATTATGTATTTATTTTTACCAGTTGTATAAGAAGAAAGGTGTTTTGGAATATCTATGGAGACTTTATTAAATTTATTGTTATAAAAAATATATTTTCGTTAAGGATCCACCCAGATTCTTAGGAAGTTGAGGTAATTGAGTCTGTTTTATTATTTTAACTTTTTGTATGTTCTGAAGTAAGTTTGTAAACTTTTTATGATTGTTACATAAAGCGCTTTGGGAGTTATTGGCCTAACCCTGTGGTACGTGGATTTTATGCAAGAGATGAAATGAGTAAGTAAGAAGAAGTAAATATTAATAAATAAATGGATAAAGAATAATCAAACTGCTAGAATGCTAGCCTGGTGCAACGGGCTTGGCGCCTCAATGTGCC